TCATATGCTTGTTAGCTGCCTGGATGTCTTCTTTGATGAAGTGTCTGTTCATATCCTTTCCCATTTTTTAACAGAATTGTTTATCTTTTTATTGTTGAGGTGTAGAAGTTTTCTGTAAATTATGGAATTTAGACCCTTGTTGAATATGTTGTTGCCAAAAATTTTTTGACAATCTATAGTGTCTCTTTTTACTCTTTTGGAGAAGTCTTTTGTTCTTAATTTTTAGGAGGTCCTATTTATCTAGTTCATCTTCTGCTGTGTGTGCATTTTTAGTTATGTTTCCTATTCTATTTATGCCATATATTAGGGCCCTTAGAGTTGTCCTTATTTTTTCCTCCATGATCTTTATAGTTTTAGGTTTTATATTTAGATCTTTGATCCAATTTGATTTAGTTTTTGTGTATAGTGTGAGGTATGGTTCCTGTTTCATTTTCCTACAGATAGATATCCAGTTTTGCCAGCACCATTTGTTGAAGAGACTGTCGCTTCCCCATCTAATGGACTTTGGTCCTTTGCTGAAGATCAGCTGTCCATGGGTGGATGGATTTATGTCTGGGTTCTCAAATCTGTTCCATTGATCTATGTGTCTGTCATCATACCAGTACCAGGCTCTTTTGATTACTGTGGCTATATAGTAGGTTCTGAGATCAGGCAGTGTGAGGCCTCCTACTTTGTTCTTCTTTAATAATGCTTTACTTATTCTGGGCTTCCTTCTCTTCCATATAAAGTTAAAGATTAGTTTTTCCATCTTGCCCAAGAATGTTGTTGGGGATTTGGATCAAAATTGTATCCTATCTATATATCACTTTAGGTACTATTGACATTTTCACTATGTTAAGTCTTCCTATCCAAGAGCATGGTATGTTTTTCCATTTATGTAGGTGTCTTTTGGTTTCTTGCAGTAGTGTTTCATAGTTTTCTTTGTATATGTCTTTTACATCGCTGGTTAGATTTATTCCTAAGTATTTTATCTTTTGGGGGGCTATTGTAAATGGTATTTTTTTCATGATTTCCTTTTCTAAGCTCTCTTCGTTGATGTAGAAGAATGCAACTGATTTTTTTCATGTTGATCTTGTATCCTGCTGCTTTGCTGAATCCTTCTACTAGTTCAAGTAGTTTTTTTGTGGAATCTTTGGGATTTTCTACGTATAGGATCATATCATCTGCAAATAGGGATACTTTTATGTGTTCCTTACCAGTCTGGAAGCTGTTTATTTCCGTTTCTTGCCTTATTGCTCTAGCTAGCTCTTCCAATATGGTGTTGAATACAAGTGGTGATAAAGGGCATTCTTGTCTGGTTCCCGTTTCCAAGAGGAATGCTTTCAGAATCTCTCTGTTGAGGATAACATTGGCTGTTGGTTTTGTATACCAAAAAAAAAAAAAACACCAAACCCAGTGCTTTCGAGTTGATTCCGATGCATGGCAACCCTATAAAGGCCTTTATTATGCTGAAGAATTTACCTTCTATTCCTATTTTGCTGAGAGTTTTTGTCAGGAATGCATGCTGTACTTTATCAAATGCCTTTTCTGCATCTATTGTAATGATCACGTGACTCTTTTCCTTTGTTTATTTGTGTGTTGGATTACACGGATTGATTTTCTAGTATTGAACCATCCTTGCATGCCTGGTATGAACCCTGCTTGGTCATGATGTATTATTTTTTTGATATGCAGTTGAATTCTACTGGCTAGGATTTTCTTGAGCATTTCTGTGGCTATATTCATGAGGGATATTGTTCTGTAGTTTTCTTTTTTAGTGATGTCTTTGCCTGGCTTTGTTATCAGGGTTATGATGGCTTCATAGGATGAATTTGGGAGTATTCCTTCCTTTTCTATGTTCTGGAATAGTTTGAGTGGAACTGGTGTTAACTCTTCTCTAAATGTTTGGTAGAATTCTCCAATGAAGCCATCTGGGCCACAATTTTTTTTGTAGGGAGTTTTTTTTTATGATCCTTTCAATTTCTTGTTTTGATTTGGATCTGTTCAAATTTTCTCCCTCAGTTTGTGGTGGTTTAGGTAGGTAGTGTTTTTCTAGAAATTTGTCTATTTCCTCTAGGTTTTCAAATTTGTTGGAGTATAATTTTTCGTAGTATTCTGTTATGATCCTTTTTACTTTAGTTGGTTCTGTTGCAATGTCACCCATCTCTTTCTTAATCAGGTTATTTGCATCTTCTCCTGTTTTTGTTTTGTCAGTTTGGCCAGTGGTTTGTCGACTTTACTGATCCTTTCAAAGAACCAGGTTTTAGTCTTGTTGATTCTTTCTATTGTTTTTCTGTTCTTTGTTTCATTTATTTCTGCTCTAATTATTATTTTGTTCCTTCTGGCGACTGTGGGCTTCTTTTGCTTCTCTCTATTTGTTCGAGTTTTAGGGTTAATGTTTTGGTTTTTGCCCTTTCTTCTTTTTTGGTGGGTGCATTTATTGTTATAAATTGACCTCAGAGCACTGTTTTTGCTGTGTCACAATGGTTTTAATATGTTGTGTTTTCATTCTCTTTTGATTCTAGCAATTTTTTAATTACATCTTTGATTTCTTTTATTATGCAGTAGTTTGAAAGCAAGGTGTTATTCAGTCTCCATGTATGAGTTGTTGTTTTTTTTCCTTTCTATTTCTGTTATTGATTTCTATTTTTATAGCATTTTGATCAGAGAAGATGCTTTGTATTATTTTTATGTTTTTGAATTTCTTGAGGCTTGCTTTGTGGCCTAAAATGTGGTCTGTTCTGGAGAATAGTATGTGAGCATTGGAAAAGAATGTTTACTTTTGCTGCTGTTGGGTGGAGTGTTCTGTATATGTCTATGTGATGGAGTTGGTTTATTTTGTTATTTAGATCTTCTCTGTCTTTGTTGAGTTACTTTCTAGTTGTTCTTTCACCAATAGTGGAGTGTTAAAAAAGTCTCCTAGTATTATTGTGGAAGTGTCTGTTTCTCTTTTCAGTGCTTTTAGAGTTTGTTTTATGTATTTTGAAGCGCTGTCATTGGGTGCATTATGGTTATGACCTCTGGGTGGATTGACCCTTTAATCATTATATAATGTCCTTCTTTGTCTTTTATGGTAAATTTTATCTTATGGTCTATTTTATCAGAGATTAATATTGCCACTCCTGCTCTTTTTTGGTTATTGTTTGGTTGATGTATCTTTTTCTATCCTTTAAGTTTTAGTTTATTTGTATCTTTGTGTCTAAGGTGTGTCTTTTGCAGACAGAGTATGAGTGGGTGCTGTTTTTTTTTTTTTTTTTATCCATTCTGCCTCTCTCTGTCTCTTACTGGTGCATTTAGGCCATTTACATTCAGCGTGATTAGTGAAAGGTACGAGTTTATTACTGTCATTTTGTTATGCTTTTTTTTTGTGGTGTTGACAGTTTCTCTGTTCTACTTAATTTTCTGTGCTGAGTTCTTTTGATTGTGGATTTTCTTCTCATTTCCTTTGTTGTTGGTTTTGTGTGTACTGAGTCTTTATGATTTTCTTCTTTTTACTTTGATGAGTAGGTTTGTTAACTTTCTTTAGTTACCCTGAAATTTACCTTTATCTTCCTAAATTTAAAGCAGTCATTTATTTCTTAATATTGCCTTGACTTCCTTTCCATATGGAAGTTCATTAGTAAATGCTTCAAGTCACCTGCACTTTCTGCAATGAAGATTGTGTCATCTGCATATCACAAGTTGTTAATGAGTCTTCCTCCAATCCTGATGCCTCCTTCTTCTTCATATAGCCCAGCTTCTCAGATTATTTGCTAAGCATACAGATTGACTAAGTGTGGTAAAACAATAACCCTAATGCACACTTTTTGTGATTTTAAACCACACAGTATCTCCCCTTGTTCTGTTTGAACAACTGCCTCTTGGTCTATGTACAGGTTCTCATGAGCACAATTAAGTGTTCTGGAATTCCCATCTTTCACAATGTTATCTATAATTTATTACGATCCACACAATTGAATGCCATTTCATAGTCATAAAAACACAGGTAAACATCTTTCTGGTATTTCTGCTTTCAGCCAAGATCCATATGACATCAGCAATGACACCCCTCGTTCCAAGTTCCTTAAAGATTACAGCCTAGGAAACCCAATGGGGCAGTTCTACTCTGTCTTGTTGGGTCCCTATAAGATGGAACGTAAACGAGTGAAGTCCATATAAACACGGGGCGTGTGTGTGTGTGTGTGTGTGTGTGTGTGTGTGTGTGTGTGTGTGTGTGTGTGTGTGAAGTACATAGGTCATAATAGATTTGCTATTTCTGTAGTCTTCACATGTACAGTTCAGTGACAGTATGTTCATGTTGTTCAACCATCACCCTTAACTGTTCAACAATTTTTTCATCACCCTTAACAGAAGCTCAGTGTCCCCTAAGGATTGTGTCTTCCTTTCCTCCTCTATCCCATCCACCCCTGGTAACCAGTAAGAAACTTTGGTCTCCATACACTTGCCTATTCTAGATCTTTCATATAAGTGGGGTCATATATATTTGTCCTTTTGTGACACATACTTCACTTAGCAAAATGTTTTCAAGGATCATTTATTGAAGTGACACTGTGAGCAGCTGAAGAGCTGAGGGAATACGGGATACGCCTGGAGAATCATAAGGATTCAGTTCAGATCTAGCCACGGGGTCACACCGAATGGTACTTTACTGCAAAGCGAGCGGTTGCAATCACTGACACCCCAGGGTGGTTTCGCAAAGTCCTCCCAGGAGGTTCATTTGCGCATTCTCTGCACGTTGCTGCGGGAAAGGCGGAGCCCCTGGGCGGCGGGTACTCTCCCTCGGGGCCTCCTCCCTCGCGCGGGGGCGGTGCCTGCGTCTGCGCCTGCGCACTTCGCCCCAGCTGTCCCTGGCACTCATCCTGTCCCTGGCACTCATCCTGCCCCTGCGCGCCGAGTAGCCTCCAGCAGTCACTTAGAGGCGCCGCGCCGCTTCGAGTGCGCAGACTAGTCCGCTGTCCGCAGAGGTGTCCTTCACCTCTTCTTCGGGTTTTTGGTCAGTGCCACCGCCTTCCCACCTGACCATGTCGTCCTCCATGCGCGTGGCGCTGGTGACCGGGGCCAACAAGGGCATCGGCTTCGCCATTGTGCGTGAGCTGTGCCGGCAGTTCTCCGGGGACGTGGTGCTCACGGCGAGGGACGAGGCTCGGGGTCGGGCGGCCGTGCAGCAGCTGCAGGCCGAGGGCCTAAGCCCGCGCTTCCACCAGCTGGACATCGACGACCTGCAGAGCATCCGCGCCCTGCGTGACTTCCTGCGCCGCGAGTATGGGGGCCTGGACGTGCTGGTCAACAACGCAGGCATCGCCTTCAAGAGTAAGGCGTTGGGGGCGGGCGTCCCAGGGGCGCCTGCCTCGGAGTGGCCCTGCGGTGGGGCCCCTCTCCCCTATGGGGTTGGGGGAGGACTCCTTAGGGAGGGAGAAGGAGGGACTCGGGGGAGAGCCGAGGCTGTTCCTAGTTGGATGACTTTCCAGCCAGAGGGACCCTTACGTTTCCCTGGCGGGACTCTTGTGTGTCTTTTCCAGGTTTTTTCCATACAGTTCCTCTCTGACTGGACTTTAGGGCAGTTGTGTGAACTTTTAATTTTGTATTTTGAAATAAGAAATTACAAAAAGAAGGCAGCTTCTGTCCGGAGGTGAGATGGGAAGGCAGAGAGGGTGAGGAGCTGGTTGAATGGACTTGGGCAATCAGGGGTGGAAAGGAGGAGTGTGCTGTCACAGTATGGGGAGAGCAATTAGGGTCACATAACAATGTATAAACTTTTGTATAGGAGACTAACTTGAAATGTAAACTTCATTTAAACTACAACAATAAAAAAAGAAATTGCAAAAAGAAAAAGTACACAAGGTCTTGTGCACCCTGTACCCAACTTCAGCCATTGGTACCATCCTATAAACTGCAAAACGTCATCAAAACCGGAAAATTGACAATGGCGCAGTGCTGTTAACCAGCGCCAGGCTTTTCTGAATTCACCAGATTTCACATTAACTCTGTTTTGAGGGGTGAGAGACTAATCACTCTGTGAAACTACCACATTGTTACAGTTTATTAACGCTGTTCTTTTCTCCCCAAAAGTTGCAGATTCTACACCCTTTCATATTCAAGCAGAGGTGACACTGAAAACGAACTTTTTTAGCACCCGAGATGTCTGCTCGGAGTTGCTGCCTCTGATTAAACCCCAAGGTAAGTCTGTGATGAGGAACACCTCTCCAGTGCCTAGCTTGCTGGAGCTGACCTCTGCTGGCCTCCGACTCACCTCCCCAGCTCCTGCTTGCTCACAGAACCCCAGCTACACTGGCCCCCTCCCTGTGTCTCTACCCTGCCAGGTGTGGATCTGCTTCAGGACTTTGTATTCCTCTAAGGGCCATTGTGGGTGCTCCATCCTGTAGATCTTTGCACACCTGGCTCTTTCTTACCCTTCAGGTCTTAGCTCAGATGCCCCTCACAGGTTGAATTCCCTTAGGATTCACCTGTTGTCCTCTCTCCTTCATCTCTGTTCCTGTACCTATACTGTACCCACTGCTGTGAGTCAGTTCCGACTCATAGTGATCTTAGTCAGGGGAGCTGGACTCCGATTGGTGATTGGAGCACTATTACCAATTCATTAAATAAATTTTTAAAAATCATATTGTGTTTTCAGTAAAGGTTGACATAGCAGTTTAGGTTCCATTCAACAACTTCTACACACATTTTTCAGTGACATTGTTTACATTCTTTGCAATGTGTGAACATTCTCAATATTTCTGTTCTGGTTGTTCTGTTTCCATTAATGTAGTTTCCCTTAACATCTTATCTTTGCTTTAGAATAATTGCTGACCATTTGATCTCCTAACCATGATTTTTCAAAGGAGCATGGTACTCACAGGTGATAATCTGTTATTTAGTTAAAGGTGACCTCCGGCAAGTTTGGGTTCAAGGTTTAAAGAGTATCTCAGGGTGGTGTTCTCAGGGAGGCTTACAGTCTCAACTGATCCAGTAAGTCTGGATTTTTTTTAAAGAATTTGAGGTTCTGTTCCACATTTTTCTTCCATTGTATCAGGATCCATCTATTGTGGTCCTGATCAGAATGGCTCAGAGTGGTAGCTGGGCACCATCTAGTTCTTCTGGTCTCAGGGTAGATGAGGCTGTAGTTTGTGTAGACTGTCAGCCCTGTAGGTTAATTTCTTCTTTGACTCTTTGATTTCTTTCTTTTTCTTTTGCTCCAGACAAGTAGAGATCAATAGTTGTATTTTAAGATCTCTAAATAAAAATTTTAAAATAGCAACAACAACAACCAAAAAAACAGTTGTTGTTGAGTTGATTCTGACTCATAGAAACCCCTTGTGAGTCCAAGTAGAACTTTGGTCCACTGGGATTTCAGTGGCTGATTTTTCAGAAGTAGATCACCAGGGCTTTCTTCCAAGGCTTCTCTGGGTGGACTCAAAACTCCAACCTTTCAGTTATCAGCTGAGCATGTTAACTGTTTACACCTCCCAGGGCCTCCATCAATTCATTAAACGAGTTGCTATCTAGTCGATTCCAATTCATGAAGACCCAGTATGTTTCAGAGCAGAACTGCTCCATGTGGCTTTCATGCCTGTGAACTTTGGGAAGCAGGTCGCCAGGCCTTTGTTCTGAGGTGCTTTTGGGTAGGTTTGAACTGCCGAGCTTTCAGTTAGTAACCCAGCACTTAATCGTTTGCGCTGTCAATTAATTAGACCCTCCTGAATCCGTCACCTCCCCACAACATTCCCAAAGCTCCAGACTCACATATTTGTCTTCCTGCCTTCCCATCTCCTCCTGACCACCCTCCCTCCCCCCAACGCTGCCCTCCCCTCCACATCTAAAACAGACATTTCCAAAGGCGTAGGTGCTCCTCCTGTCTCTTCAACCATCTTGCTCAGCGAACCCACGTCCACCCAGCCAAGACCCTGGATGTCAACATGGTGACCCACCCACGTATAATCATTTACCAGGTCTTAAGAGTTTGCCTACCACTTTTTCCCCAGTTCATTACCTCCATCCCAGCTCCAGCTCAGGCCCTTCCACTGTCATTTCTGGGCAAGTGCAAGCCCCCCTGAGTGATGGCCCTTCTTAGTCGTCCTCTCCCTGCACTGTCTATACTGTCTGCAGACATGCCCCTTGTGAAAATCCCTGAGGGACAAAGTCCAAGCTGCCTTGCATGGTGTATGGGGGTCTCTGTCATCTCACCCTGCCTAACCCCAGGCTCCTTTTAACTCTCTTTCGGCATGCTCAATGTTCTGGCCATAACGGATTACCTTGTTTTTTTGTTCGTACACTGCTATAATCCTTACCCCAAGGTCCTGGGATGGAAGGGGCACTCCACCCCAGAAAACACACATCAGTTAAGGCAAGCTGCCACCATTAGAAAGGTTAAAGCGAGTGGCTTTGAACCGAGTGCATGCATGCACAGTTGCTCTCCAGTCTGCTTTTGCGGGGTGTGTTCTCTCCACTTTCTCGCCCCTCCCCCTTCTCCCTGTCTTGTCCCCCTAGAAGGCTCTTTCTCCTAAGACTGGCCCAGTAGGGCCTCGAAGCGTGGCTCTTTCACATGTCACCTGACTCTTCATCACGCCAGCACTTGAAGGCAGGTCTAGAGCTGTGTATTAGTGTCCTGGGCGGCCGTGACAAAGCCCCACAGCTTGGTGACTTGTAAGAACAGAAACTTAATCTCTCATACTTCTGGAGGCTAAGAGTCTGAGTTCAGGGTGTCGGCAGAGCCGTGTCCTCTCCAAAGGCTCCAGGGGAAGATCCTTATCCTTGCCGCTTTCTGGTAGCCCAGGTTCCTTGGCTTGTGGCTACAGCATGACTCCATTGTTTGGCTGTTTTCCCTCTATCCGTCTCTGTGTCTCTTCCCTGTTTCATAAGGACACCACTCCCTGGATTGGGACCCACCCTGCTCCACTACGACCTCGTGTTAGCTCAGCTGATAACGTCTTCAAAGACCCTATTTCCAAGCAAAGCATGTTCACAGATCCCAGGGGTTAGGACTTCAACATAAATATTTGAGGGGACACGATTCAATACATAACTAGCTCCTTGTGCAACCACCGCACCTTCTGCACACATTTGTCTTAGAACTTATGCTTCCACTCGGTCCGTTGTGCTCGCTGTGCCGGGCTTGGTTGGTGCTCGCTGTGCTGGGGCTGGGTCCCAGTGTGACGAGTGAGGGCATTCATGGATTTGTAAGGCAGGCTCTATTCTAATAATTTCTCTTGCCTGAGGAACACTAGAATTTAATGGACACGTAAGTATGTGCTATGTTCTTCTCACTGTGAGAGCAAAATTTTCTTTCCTTTTGAAAAGGTAGCCACAGCGGTTCCTGTTCTGACTTTATTCTAGCCCTCTTTGGGAGAAAACTGAGAAATCCTAGGTAGGGTAACCAGAAGGAAATACCGTGCTTCCTCCCCTGTCCTGGTCTCCTAGTGCTGCTGTAACACAGACCCACAAGTAGGTGGCTTTAAAGAACACAGTTATTGTCTCACAGTTTAGGAGACTAGAGGTTCAAATTCAGGGCAGCAGCTCTAGGGGAAGGCTGTCTCAGCTCTGGGGGAAGATCCTTGTCTCTTCCAGCATTCCTCTGTGTTCCTTGCCAAGGCCTTCCCCCTTTGTGCCCACTTGTCTCTGTGCCTGTGCTGCTCCTTAGAGCTACCACATGACCTCTGTGGGTGGCAGAAAACATCTAAAAGGGGAGTGTTCAGTGTACTGTTTGGCGTGGAGGAGGAGGAAAGGAAGAGGTGTTGTGACCTTAAAGACGGAGAGAAAACTGTTTACAGAGAGATGTGGATTTCTCTTTGTTTTCTCAATCCTTTAAAAACAAAGTTATTAAAAACTACTCTAGCCACATAAAAAGATGAGAACACTACTACAACCCCATGTACCCACCACCCGACTTAAAAAACGAGACGTCAATGCCGCTTAAGCCCCTTAACCCCTTCCTGCTTGTTTCCTTCACATTCCTCCACACCATTATGCTGAACTTGGAAGAATGCTTTATTTAATGCTGGTAGCCTATGGTGTTTTTTTGTTTGTTTCGTTTTTCTTTTTAAGTAATATTTTGTATATATTTTGAAAAGTAGGTGTTAAAAAACCCTGATTTAAGGAGATACCGGTTTTCGAGTTTCTGAAATCTGAAAATCGCTAGAGGATGGTTAAGAAACATGGTAGTGAAGGAGTCTGCTTAGTTTCCTAGTGCTGCTGTAACACAGGAGCCCTGATGGCACAGTGGTTTAGCACTCGGCTGCTGACCATCAGCGGTTCAAACCCAGCAGCCGCTCTGTGGGAGAAAGATGTGGCAGTCTGATTCCATAAAGATTACAGCCTTGGAAACCCTTCGGGGCAGTTCTGCTCTGTCCTACAGGGTCACTATGAGTGGGAACCGACTGGACAACAACTTTTGTTTTGGTTCTTTTTTGCTGTAACGCAAACACCACAAGTGGGTGGCGTTAAGGAACAGAAATTTATTTCCTCACAGTCCTGGACTCTAAAAGTTCAAATCCGGTTCTCAGCCGTGTCAGTGGCTTCTGTGGGCCTCTCCAAATTTCCAGTGTCTTGTGACAGTCCTTGGCATCCTTTGCTTGTGGAATGGGCCCTTACATGGCATCTGTCTCCCCTGTGAGTGTCTCCATGTCTGTTCTGCTCTTTCCATAACTCAGACGGGGTCGGGTTTAGGACCCACCCTACACTGATGTGACCACATTAACATTAGAAAAGAAAAACCATGTTTCAAAACAAGATCAAATCCACAAATACGGAGGACAGGACTTCAATACCTATTTTTGGGGAACACAGTTCAATCCATAACATCTACTTCTAACACTTCGTGGGTCTATAAAGAATGGATGAACACACATTGCTTGATGCTGTGTGCCAGGCATTTTGTATATATTTTCCCATTTTACTGAGGAGAGCATTGTGGCATGAAATATCTCAAGGTCACATGCACATCCAGGATCTAGACGTAGGTCCTGTGACTTCCCAAGCAAATTGTTCTTCCCCTGTACAATGGTTCTCAAATATTTTTTTCCAAGGAGCCCTTTCTTAAAGTAAAGCTGTACCGAGCAGGCCAGTGTGACAAATGATGGAAGGGGATGTCCCCTTGGTTGAGGCCCTTCTTTCTCACCACAGTGGCCTGCAGGACACCTCAGAGGAACCCAAAGGGCTCCAGGAGATTTTAAAAGCATTGCAGTGTATGGTGAAAACTCCTTAGCGTTCTAGAGACCTTGGCAGCAGGTACTCTTGGAATAAGAAGAGATAGAGGGAATGTGATGAGTATAAACTCTTGTCATGGATTGAATTACGTCCCCCAAAAAATGTGTGTATCAATTTGGCTGGGCGATGATTCCAGGTATTGTGTGATTTTCCTATATGTTGTAAATCCTGCCTCTATGATGTTAATGAGGGAGGATGGGCAGACTAGATTGTGTCCTGAAGCAATCTCTTGAGATATAAAAGAGAGAAGTGAGCAGAGAGACAGGGGGACCTCATACCATCAAGAAAACAGTGCCGGGAGCAGAGCATGTCCTTTGGACCCAGGGTCCCTACATGGAGAAGCTCCCAGTCCAGGGTAACACTGATGAGAAGGCTGACAGAGAAAGCCTTCCCCTGAAGCTCACGCCCTGAATCTGGACTTTTAGCCTACTTTACTGTGAGGAACTAAACTTCTCTTTGTTGAAGCCATCGACTTGTGGTATTTCTGTTAAAGCGGCACTAGATGACTAAGACAACTCTTAAAAGGTCCAGAGGAGCCAGGTAGAGACTTCATTCCTCTGCCTGGGCTATTAGAATCCAGTAAAGTTTTTGAGGTTTGTTATTCAGTGGGTGACACCTTTACAGTATCGCTTGTTATCCCAGTCTACTTGGCTCCTTGTTTCGGACACTGAGAGTTTGGAGAGTGAGGCCCCAATATTGGGGACTCCTGAGTGTTTACAGGACTCTAAGGGGTCAGTCACTCCACAAACAGTTGTGGTTCAGTGTACAATTCAGCGGCATAAAGTACATTCACAGTGTTGTACAACCATCACCACTGTCTAGTTCCAGAACTTTTTCATCACCCCAAAATGAAATTTTTACGTTTTTATTTTTTTTTTGTACTTAGGTGAAAGTTTACAGCTCAAGTTAATCTCTCTTACAGAATTTTCTGCACATGTTGTCATGTGACACTAGTTGCAATCCCTACAATGTGACGGCACACTCCCCCTTTCCGCCTCGGGTTTTCCGTGTCCATCCAACCAGCTCTTGTCCCTTCCTGCCTTCTCATCCTGCCTTCTAACAGGAGCTGCCCATTTGGTCTCATGTATCTGCTTGAACTAAGAAGCATGCTCTTCATGAGTGTTATTTTATGTTTTATAGTCCAGTCTAATCTTTGTCTGAAGAGTGGGCTTCGGGAATGGTTTTAGTTCTGGGTGAACATAGCATCCGGGGGCATGGCTTCTGAGGTTCCTCCAGTCTCAGTCAGACCATTAAGTCTGGTCTTTTTATTTGAATTTGAATTCTGTTCCACACTGTTCTCCTGCTCTGTCATGGACTCTCTGTTGTGTTCCTATTGGGGCAGAGATTTTTACGATTTTTTGCATGTAATATTTGTAAAAAGTTGCCAGTTTTGTACCATCAGGAGCCTGATGCAAGCTTGCAGTCTTGGTGTTTTGGTCTTGGTCTTCCCTGTGCATGTCTGTCTGTGTAATGATGTGTTTGTGTTGTAGGCAGAGTGGTGAACGTGTCAAGCATGGCTAGTATCCAAGCCCTTAAATCCTGCAGCCCAGAGCTGCAGCAGAGGTTCCGTAGTGAGACCATCACAGAGGAGGAGCTGGTGGCTCTCATGAAGAAGTTTGTGGAAGATACAAAGAATGGGGTGCACCAGAAGGTGGGCTGGCCCAACACTGCATATGGTGTGTCGAAGATCGGTGTCACAGTCCTGTCCAGAATCCACGCCAGGAACCTGAGTGCACAGAGGGGAGGTGACAAGATCCTCCTGAATGCCTGCTGCCCGGGGTGGGTGAGAACTGACATGGCGGGGCCTAGTGCCACCAAAAGCCCAGAAGAAGGAGCAGAGACCCCCGTGTACTTGGCCCTTTTGCCCTCAGATGCTGAGGGGCCTCATGGACAGTTTGTTTCAGAGAAGAGAGTTAGGCAGTGGTGAGCTTGACTCACAGTGCCATTCTTGGGTGCCATTTTGTTTCTGTTCTGAATAAACCACAGGGCATTGACACTTGTCAGCAATGTCCCTGTCAAGCACGCACTTTCAGCTGCCTACTAATTCTGTGCATTCTTTTTTGATTTTCTCCATGATGTCTTATAGGGAAAACTATGTGTAATCAGTGAAAATAATGACTGCGAATCAATAGATGAATGAAATTGGTTCTTGATAAATACCTCTTTAGGTCAGAGGAAGGGACAGTGTAACCCAGAGTTTGACGTCCTTTTTCCGTAGAGGGCTAGATAGTATTTTCAGCTTTGCAGGCCATGTGGTCTCTGTCACAGCTACTCAGATCTGCCATTGTAGCAGGGCACCATGTGAACAAATGAGTGTAGCTGGGTTGACCCACGGGCTATAGTTTACCAAACTCTGGTGCAACAGGAACACTGACAAAGGCAATACATGCAGGTGCAACTTTGCCAGGGAATCACTTCTGTCATTAGAGCCATTGCAGCTACAGTGTGAAGGAAGGGCTAGGCCCACAAGTACTAGTACACTCTGTGAGTCAAGATAGACGGTGACTTTCTCAAGACAACTCAGATGGAACATGTCTGCCTTTTCTCTCATTTCCCTTAGTTCACTGAACAATCCAAAGGAGCTCTTTTAGACGTGGTTACTTTTAAGAGTAAATGACTTTAAAAAAAAATCGCTGCTGAGTCAATTCTGACTCATGGTGACCCCATGTATGTCAGAGTAGAACTGTGCTCCATAGGGCTTTCAGTGGCTGATTTTTCATAAGTAGATCACCAGTCCTTTCTTCTCAGGTGCCTCTGGGCGGACTCCAGCTGTAAACCTTTTAATTAGCAGCCGAGCATGTTATCCGTTTGCGCCACCTTAAGGCAGGTAAAATTCTTAGAACAGTCCTCAGTAAGTGTTAGGTGCTGCTGCTGCTCTTTTGAGGGTCAGCTTCTGGAATATTCCTTCCCTAGGGTTGTTGCTCCCTTTCACCTAGGACCAGACACTGACCTGCTCTTGATGAACTGAAGTTGTCTTCCCTGATCAAATCGGCTTCTGCCTCTAGAGTAATAAGGGCTCTTAGCACTCTGCACCAGATACTAAATAGTCTACTTTTTTCTTTTTACCTCTTTTTTTACCACATAACCCAAAGTGGATTTTATAAAGAAGGGAGGGATAAGAGACACCATGTGTCACAAGAGAAGCAGGCTCGGTTGGGACGTGAACAAAATTGGACTCCTGACCTGAGCCTTTAAAGGCTATGGTTTTCTTCAAGACATGGACCACGCTCAGACTTGATTAATTTTCTCCCCCTGCCCTTGGAATTTTACCACTCCTCCCCTTTCCAGAAGCTTCTGTGCTGCATGGGTAGCTACTTTAAATTAGCTTCAGCCTTACTGTGTGCTCCTAAGTCATGTTGTCCAGCTGGTTCTCTCTGCCCTCTGCACTGATCAAGGAAGCAAAAGCAGAATGTGAGGGACCCAGTATTTATACTCCCCTTGCACGTCTCTAACATGAGCCATGGACAACTTGAGACTTTGATGACACTTGCCCTGCTCACCAGGCAGGAAAACAGACATACACTAACAGCTATAAAGCTTCATGGCAATAAAGGAGCACCGTAAAATGGAACCAAGAACTTGTAGAAGTTCAGAAAAGGGAGTGTGATCTTTTGTGCCAAGTCCATCATTAGGTTTCCTAGTGAGAGTGCCCTTTGAGATCCAAGTAACAGTGACCCACGGGAGTGGTTGGGAGGATGGGGTGGTAAATACCCTTCAGAGTAGCAGTGTGAAGCAAAGTGTAGAGGTGGTGGGAAGAGTGGATGATTACTCTGAATGGAGATAACATGTAGATAAGGAAGAGGAATAAAATCAGGTTGGGATTGGATGGTAGAAAGCCTTCAAAGCCAGGCTAGTGAGCAGAAATGTGGCACAAGCCCAGTTACGCTTTAGAATTATTCAGCTGGTGGGGCGGAAGGGTGGTAGTGGTTGACTGAAAGAAAGAAGATACCAGAGTGTGGGAGACCCATTAAGAGATCCCTGTAACAGGAGGTTAGCACAGCTGGCCCAAAGCAAAAGCAAGGAAGTTTCCTAGACACATCCAAACACTTTGAGAGACAAAGTTGCTGGGGCCGGGGCCTGGGGACCATAGTTTTGGGGGACATCTCGGTCAATTGGCATAACATAGTTTATAAAGAAATGGTTCTACATCCCACTTTGGTGATAGCATCTGAGGTCTTAAAAGCTTGTGAGCAGCCATCTAAGATACATCTATTAGTCCCATCCTACTGGGAGCAAAGGAGAATGAAGAAAACCAAAGATACAAGGAGAATACTACCTCAAAGGACTAAAAGACCAAATGAACCAGAGACTCCACCAGCCTGAGACCAGAAGAACTAGATACTGCCCGACTACCACCAACGACCGCCCTGAGTCCTAGACAGAGCAGGAGAGAAATGTAGAACAGAATTCAAATTCACATAAAAGGATCTGACTTAATGGTCTGAAAGAGACTGGAGGATCCCTGAAACTATGGCCCCTAGATGTGCTGCTAATTCAGAATTGAAACCATTCCCAAAGCCCACTCTTCAGACAAAGATTAGACAGGACTGTAAAAAAAAAATAATGCACGGGAGGAACATGCTTCTTAGTTCAATCAACTATACGAGACCAAATGGGCAGCTCCTGTCCTAAAGCAGGATGAGAAAGCAGGAAGGGACAGGAACTGGTCCAATGGATACAGGGAACCCAGGGTGGAAAGGGGAAATGTACCGTCCCATTGTGGGAATTGCAACCCATGTCACAAAACAATATGAGCATAAATTTTTGAATGAGAAATTAACTTGAACTGTAAACTGTCACCTAAAGCACAATAAAAACAGATCTTTGTAACAGCTCAACACAATTTTGTGACTCCTGAATACTAATTAGATACAGGAAGAAGGAAGGAACTACATAAGAAGTCAGGAGAAATAGCAGGTTTTTGGGAAAGCCAATTCCATCTTAGAAATGAAGAACAATTATTCATAAGACTAATGGGGACACAATTAAAAAAAAATTTTTAGAAAATTTTTATAAAGCAAGCCATGTAGCACGAGCAATCTATAAGGGTGTACCAAATCACTGAGGGAAAGAGTCCAAAGGAAAAAGAGGGTAAAGGCAGGTCTGTGGAGCTGCCCACATTCAATCAATGGGAGGATGAAGATGGGGTAGCAAAGTAACAGAGGAGAGACCAGAAAGGGAGAAAGAGAATTCAGAAAAAATGCTACCTTGGGTGGAGCCAAGGTGAGAGGAAGATTCCAGAATGAAGGGATCTTCACTGTGTTGGTGTCTTAGTTAGAGCATGGCCCTGCTGACATGTTGATTACAGACTTCTATCCTCCAGAACTGTGAGAGAATGGATTTCTATTGTTGTAAGCCACTCAGTTGGTGCACTTTGTTATGGCGACCCTAGGAAATGAAAACACCATCTCTGATGTCCTTGGCTCTTGTCATCAGTGGCTCTGCACATGGTGAACTCCCATCTAAGAACTGAGCTGAGTGACTGAAGGTAATGGAGAAGCTGCTCCATCCAATTGCATCGACAGCAGCAGGTCCCCTTCACTGGCGGCAAGAAAGAAGACTTAGCTGGACTAAAGATTTTTGGTGCAACAAGGAATGAGATGAGGAAACAAGAATGGATGTAACAGGACACTTCCATTTTTACTTCCTGTGCTACTGTATGATTTGCATCTTTTACAATGAGAATGTAATAATGCAGTTACTTTGTGGCATTAAGAAGTAATAAAAGTTAGGTATGTCCAGCCAAAAATCGGTGTGCAACCAATGTGGACAATGTCTTCCTTTCAGCAGCTGAACTGAGTGAATTCCTCATGGTGTGAAGGTTGTAGACGAGATCAGATTCCAAACTCATGCTTGTCTTTTCTTGGAGTTGAGTGGGAAACCAGAGATGCTGAAGGCTTTTACTGACACAGGTGGGAGAGAAATAGCCTAGAGAAAAAAAAAAAAAAGAAATTTTGGTTTTTCTCATTCCAAGGCCATGATGATTAGAGATCTCTACCTTTGAGAAGCATACCCACAGGTGCTGATTTGTACTTCTAGAAGAGGACTTAGCAGCACTGACCTGCTGTCTTAGTTATCCACTGCTGCTATAACAGAAATACCACAAGTGGGTGGCTTTAACAAACAAATTAATTTTCTCACAGTTCAGGAGGTTAGAAGTCTGAATTCAAGGTGCTAGCTCTAGGTGAAAGCTTTCTGTCTTTGTCCACTCAGGAGGAAGGTCCTTGTCTCTTCTGTTCCTCAGCGATCTTCATGTGGCTTGGCATCTCTCTTCCCCCATCTCTGCTTATTTACTCGCTAGTTTAATCTCTTTTTATACCTCAAAAGAGATTAACTTAAAACACACCCTACACTAATTCTGCCTCATTAACATAACAAAGAAACCCCATACCCAAATGGGATTATAACCACAGATACAGGGGTTAGGATTTACAACACGTATTTTTGGGAGACACAATTCAATCCATAACATTCCACCTGTTGGCCCCCAAAGTTCATGTCCTTCTCATGTACAAAACATATTCACCCCATCACATCATCCCAAAAGTCTTAAATCAACTCCAAATCCAAAATTTCATTTTCTAAATCATTTAAATCAAATATGGGTGGGAGTTTAGGCATGTTCTATCCTGGGGCAAAATTCGTCTTCATGTGTGAACCTGTGAAATCGAGAATATAAATTATCTGCTTCCAAAGTATAATGGTGAACGCGTACAAGGTAGACATTTCCATTACAAATGGGAGAAATTGGAGGGAAAGAAGGGATAACAGGCACCAAGCAAGTAGAAAACCCAGCAGAACAAATTATATTAGCTCTCCAGGCTGGAAAATTCTCTGTTCTCTGAGATCATCTGGGCAATGGCTCCACCCTCCAGACTCTGTGTGTTGGTCATACCCTCTGAATTCTGGGTGGAGGCCCCTTGGCCCTGGGCTTCAGCTCCACCTTCCAGTCCCACTGGGATGGCAACTCTGCTCCCTCAGCTTTGGGTGGCCCCATTTTCCTAATCTATCTGAGTAGCAACCCCACCCCGTCAGCCCCTGGCAGTTTGCATTCTTCTGCCCCTTGAGCATGGCAACCTTCCCCCACTCAGCTTTGCTGGGAGGCCCTGTCCTCTTGGCCAAACTGAACAGTAGCCCCACCCTCCAGAAACCAGTTGGTGCAGATCTGACTCTTTGAAACCTAGGATGCTGTGACTCCACCCTTGGAGACTTAGGAGACGGTGGCTCCACCCTTTGAAACCAAGTCA